GCTCAGCTGCTGCCCTTTTCCCTGATGCCGCCCAAACCTGTCAGAACTTCAGCCAAGAGTTTTCTTCCGAGTGTGACCAGATCTTGTCAAACCTTCCGCAGGGAAGCAATTTCTTCTACACTGTTTCCTTGAGAAGTTCTGCATTACATGAGCTGAGCTTTTGTTTCCTTCCTGAGCTTCTCTTTATCCATCTGTGCTATACATTAAAGAAATCACTTTGACTGTGCATTTTCATAATGAACTTCCTCGGTTGGTGTGACTACAGCAGGCAGGAACTCAACCACAGGTGATAAATACAGTGAGAAGCTGCTCATCTACGCTGCAGAAAAGAGGCTAATTAAATTTTCATGTAGCTAATCATGAGGTAGTCCACTGTTAATTGTGCTTCTTGCCAACACAGTGGGTCCCTCATGGGATCCACCATTATGCCCATGCAGCACTTCCTTTGCTTAAACGCCTCTTAGATTTAATGGACTCTTTCATAAACTGTGGATCCTCAGCAGCTCCTTGCACACACGACCACACAGAGCTTGAACGCATCCATCAACAAAAATCCCCTCAACGACCTCAGTTTTTATCTCTCCCTCCCCTCCATCTCCTCCTCACTTCATGTCTGTACGCAGGTCTTAATTACTGGTGTGAAGTAATTATTTCCTTTATTAGTGAAACGTGACATCTGTTTCAGGTCTTCGTAATTGTACCTATAAAACCCTTCCATGATTTCTGTCCTTTTAGGATAGTGCTGTTTGTTGCTCCCCGTGGACTCGCTGCCTTCTTCTCTCCACCCTTCAGCATGAGCTGCGATGTACCTAACGCAGTCATTCTCCTGTAAAGAAGCATCGAGGAGCTCGACAGAGGATACAAACAAGCAGATGAAAGCAGGAGACAAAAACATACTTGCCCAGCCCTGCCTTTAAAATAGCATTAACACAATTAGCTGTTCTGCAACCGTCTCAGTGTTGGTAATTTTGATAAAGGATGCATTAAATTCCAAAGCAACAAAACCTCAAACACCAAGAGAAAAAGACCGGCTCCCGGGATTGTTACATGGAAGCGTGGGAACAGGGGAAGGAGGGTGGAAGGAGTGAGATTCCTGAGGTCTTGGGGAAATTTTGTCCCTGTATTAATAGACTCTGGTCCCTTTGAAATTTTATTAGTCATAAAGCTGACAGCATGTTGTGCAATTTCTACACTCCTCTACGCTATAGACTTTTCTTTCGTGAAGGTTTCACTCCTTTTTAAACAAAGCAGTCGTGCCCCTGTGTCCATACACTAGAGTTTCCCTCTACTGACGCGGACAACTGCACGAAGAGAACAGGTGTCATCATCAAATCTATAAAAACCTCACATAGTCATCAAACTTCTAGCAAACACTGGCCAGAGAGTTGAAGACTGTCCGGCTTCTGCTGCTCTGTCCTTTTAGCGCTCTGCCTCTTAATTTTTATGGCTCCTGCACCTTCAGGAAATGACCCTTTTATAGGGTCAACACTATAAAAGACTTGTTTTTGGTGGGAGTGGCTAGTGCATGAGTGCATGTGTGTGTGTGTGCATGGTGGGGGATAAGTGTTCAAGTTACTACCGGTTCGTCTTTGCTGCCAAAGAAAAAGACCCGATGAGGTTAATAGTCTCCTCTTCCAATATATCACATAGCTGTGAACTCTGTGACCCTTTTTGTCAATAGGAGAACTTTTCTCTGGGGTGTGTTTGTGACTGTGTGGGTGTGTTAGCATCCTTCACAGTGTGCATGTGGACACTCATACCTTTATATGAGTCCATTTTTATGCACTCAGGAGTTGTGTAAGCTTGTGCTTGAAGTGAATGAGCTTGATCCGAACAGGATTACATAATAATACCAGCACATCTTTTCCTTACGTTATCCTACACACCGTCATGACAGACAAGACATAAAATAGTTGAACAAAGTGAGAGGCTGCAGCTGAGTGGCCATTGGAAATGTTTCAAACCGTCTCTTCTTTATGTCTGAACCTCGGTATTAATCCCAGTAAAGACATTTTGGACACACTGATATGTCATCTCCTTGGAATAAACTTTAAACATGGAATAAAAACTGGGAGGGAGGGTAAGCCAGTGCTGCTCTCTGCTGGATTCTCTGTTACTGGACAATCTCAAAACTACTGTCATAGCGCACCAAAAAAGTTTTGCCAAATCAAAAAATCAAGAATACTGTACACTAATAACTATTACCTTTCTTGAAACTAATGATTAAATAAACACAAGAGCGGTAATCATAGTCTACAGGGGTACTGTGTCTCCTGAAATGCTGTTCCTGATCTTCTCGAGAAAAATTATTTAAAAGTATTTTCCGTGGTTCTCTATCAGTCAGAGAGCGGTTGTGTGGTTAGTAGCACCAAAACATAAATCGAGAGACAGAAGGGAGGAGAAGGTCACTGATGGCAGAGGAAGGTCTTGGCCAGGTAACAAACGGGAGACGAGTGGGGGTCAAATCCTCACCCCACCTCAGGCTCTCAGGTTCAACAAACCAAGCTCCAAAATATACACTTTGTATGCACGCTCACGACAACGGCACACATAAATCAACATAACTCAAGCAGTTCAGCTCATATGTTAATGCAAAAATCAACACTCATTCTAAATGCTGCATTAGAAAATAACCCTGATAAGATGCTCATAAACAGTCACTTTTTATGCATGAGCAGTGAGTGAAGCGGTTACCAACACAACGCACTGTACGGGGGGAGTACTGTATATAAAATGCTGCACTATGATATAAATAGCTGTACACTTCCATGAAATTTCATACTAATTAGAGACCAGGAAGCATGAACCCTCTCAACCCCTACTGCGGCACCCACGCACCTTGAGTGAATACTAAGAAGCAGCCCTGGCGCAGGTCCAGTTCAGTATGTATTGTGTGAACCCACATGGCCCATCAAAGGCAGCGTGCACAACCGTGAAAGGGTGATTGGGTTCGAGATGCGCATAGGAATAGTGTTTGAAGTCCTCCCTCTATAAGAGAGACAGAAAAAGACACTTTTAATCCTGTGGGATCACTAATGCGCCACAGGCAAAAGAGATGCACTCATTCTCTCAACTCTTCCATGAGTACCAGAGAAAACAAGAGGAAAGCGAGAGGGGGGTAAACAAACAAAACAGAAAGGAAGTGCTCTAACATGACAGATCCAGCAGTAATGTCAGTCATTAGCTCCTCTGGCTGCATGGGGTAGAAATATGCAATTAGCCAGCATCATGCATAAGGTCTGTTTCTGGCTTGAGAATCAAATCTCTTTGCATCATAGTTTATATATGTATGTGTGTGTGTGTGTTTATGCAGAGGATGGGAAGAAAAGAAACAAGGAATCAAAAATATAATTTGAGGATACTGTTTCCACTGTAATGTGCATCTGAGTGTGTGAAGGTGCAGTTTCATCTTGTCTGTATTTACAGTTGGATTACAAAACACCTTCAGTGTCAGCATGTGTCACACACAGTACACACCGTATGTGTGTTTATGAGCACAGATACAAGAAACAGAGGCAGTTATACAGCTGCTGTGCGAAGCAAACCGTTGACAAATGATTAATCCAAATCCTTTACAATGTCTCCATAAGCCACCTGTAAGATACGAGACTCCAGCTTATCTCCTTAAGGATAAACTTGAAGAGGATCACTGAGAGCACCAACAACTCTCAGAGGAAACATCTTTTAAGAATTACACAAGGTCCCGAGTGATTTTTACAACAAATAATAATAAAAAGTGTTGGAATATGAAAGAAGGAGAAAAATTCTGACCATGTTTGAGCTTGGAGTTACCTCTGCTGTAACCACAGCGGTAGGTGAGCTGTCAGGACAGAAGAAAGTGTCTGTACCAGGTCATTCAAACACAAATTAAAGGGTTGATAGATAGACGGATAGACGGATAGACGGATAGATAGATAGATAGATAGATAGATAGATAGATAGATAGATAGATAGATATCTTTGTTCTCTCTTGGGGTAAAAAAACCCAGATTTTTTGGAGTGTGTTTCATCCGCCTTGTGCAGAATATATTACGTGTGTAAATGTTGTTGAACCCCTCGATTCGCAAGGAAAAGGTCACACACTCCCCTCGACCCTAAGTGATTCTCTGTCTTTGTGTAGGCCAGCTCGTGGAGAAAAAAACGAGCTGCGCCTATAAACTTCGCATTTAAAAGGCAAGTGCGGCCGAGGGGGGCCGCCGCATGAGGGGAACAATAGCAGCTTTTTGGACACACTTTTTCTCACTGCGATGAACAGCAGGGAAACCGGTAGAGCCTCCTTTAAAAGACCGATAGAGCACAGCTGCCAGGGTTCAACAGCAATTTTATAAAATGTCTCCAAGGGGCCTGCCTGCGGTTTAGCTGTGGATTTATGGGAAAGTATAAGAGGGCGAGCAAATTGTTAGAGGGCAATAATCAGAGGGCCCCACGACGTGATCATGACTCCAGAATTCAGGGCTTTTATGCAAATCAAGATACAAGTGACACAACTGCCAGCCAAATGCTGCATTAGAATTAACATCGCACGGGACATTCAAACGGGTCTGTCACGCGTTCAGTGTCTGTTAAACACCAACATGATATGAAAGGGGGAAAGTTTCAACATGACAGCAGGTGGTGCACTGAGGAGTTCTGCAGCTAAATAGTAGGCGCTCAGCTCCAACAGGACTTTGCCCTCCACCATCATCACCATCATCACCATGAAAACAAAAGTTCATCAGGCCACTGTGGTGTCTGTTTCAGAGCGACGAGGCTTTCTACGCTGGGTCCACACGGAACACTTATTTTGACAGTCGTGGCCTTCAACCAACCAGAGCCATTTGTCTAATTTTACGAGTTCGTTTCAAACACACAGAATGGAACCCCTGTCTCAATCTGGAAATCTAAGTTAGGTTAGTGACTTGACTGCGCCCGCTGTCCACTCAGCAGGCCTGGGTCTGCTCCGCAATTACGCACATGATGCATTTGGAGACAATATAGTTGAGTTGTAAACTATAACTCACGCTCAGAAGCCATGGTGATGACGGACTCTGTGGTGGCGTGGTACTCATCCTCCTCCATAAACTCATCCTGGGAGGACGCATCTCCCTGGAAGTCGTGGTGGTCCAGGAGCTGCTGGAGCGGAGGCGCCTTGGGCAGCAGCTGATTGACCACCTCCCGGCTGATATTGGGCGCCTGCTTCAGACGCAGCTTGCTCAGGATCTGGGCCTTTATGGTCTCCAGTCTCAGCTCTTTGCTCTGCTCCCTCCAAACACAGGCGGAGCACTCGTGGGCACCAGCGTCTTCGTCCAGCAGAGACAGTCCGGCATTCGTGGGCGTCTCGCTGGCAGGAGGCAGCAGAAGATTGGGCTCATCGCTCCCCGACTGTCCCAGGGAGATGAGCACCGTCAAGCACAGTAAGAAGTTGTACCTCGGCATGACGATGCGCAAACACCAGGCAATGCAATTTTTTCTTTTTCTTGTCTTTTTACTCCCTTTATCCCGTAATATCCCCTCGCTCAGATGTGCTCAGATGTGCGCAGCTCCTTGCTTTACCCGACAAAAAAGCAGGGGACCAATGACATGCATCTAATCCAGTACGATCTCCCCAAAGTTGTTTGTTTTGAAGCAGGAGCTTTTGCGGCAAATAAAAAGTGCGTTCCAGGTTGTTTTGATTGAAAGTTAATAAATTATCTGTCTGATGAATGCATAGCCTTCATCATAGCATAACACGTAGCCCTAATGGTTGTTTTGTTGAAGGTCTTCTGTGCAATTGAGTCCATGGAGGTGTGTCACTGAAAAATGTGCAACTGCGGTCAATAAGGGGCTCTTTATATATCTCAGCTGCCCGGTGTCGTAATTCGTCTCCATTGGCTAAGATTGCAACAAAAGGCTTTTAGGTCTGTCACCAAGTCAAGAGGGACAGAGCGAAGGGAGGTGCGCGCACGGTTATGAGAGTATAAATGTTTTTACAGTGCACAAACAATGTCTCACATTAGAGATATTGCCCAATTAGCTTATTGTGATAATGGTATAAACTGTGGCTCCCTGCGCCTGTTGTTTTAACGGTGTAAATTGAGAAAAGCCGCACGGATTCCTCTCGAATTCCCCACAACATCTCATAAACCACACGCATCCTAATATTTACGGTGCATTTTAACAAAAGATCACTGACGATGGATCATGGTGTGGGCCTACCAGATGGTCACATGCAGAGTATTTAGATGTTGCACGAGCTTTCCCCAGCAGGGCTCTTTAAACAGCGCGTTAAAGTCTCCATATGAACCAGATAAGTCATTATAATATGCCTTTGCTCTACAAACAGAGAGCTCCATCCTTCACCATTGAGGTTTCGGCGATATGCAATTATTTAGGCAAAATGTAAAGTAACTGGTAAATAAATCAAAAGGTTGTTTAATTATGCATCAGCAGGTCGGTCTACATTCTTTGTTTATAGATTTTTCCATAAAATTAATTCATACAAATGTATGAAATTGGTCATACGTCCAATTAAAGTTATGCATTTCTAAATAATCCTTATAGACTGCAGAACTATAAGCCATATGAGTCCTATTTAATGTAAAAGTCTACGGTACATGCAAAAATGTCAAGATCTCATCAAATGTTGCCCAACCACAAACCATGGCGAGATGTTTTCATACAAGTTGTGATATTTCTGGAACAGAGTTAATTGCTGCTCCATAGCTACCGTAAGCAATGAGCTGCCATCAGTCATTGTGCCATCACTGACCCACTAGTGCCCTCTGCTGGAGGAAAACACAGTTGCAACTGCAGAGCTGATCATATTTGGGTTATTTGTTTTCTTGGCGCATTTCTTCGCAAAACAAGGTCCCCTACAGATTGGGCACTTAGCTTTATTAAATATCAACTGATCAAACACTTATAGGATTAAATACTAAACTTTATTGCACCAGAAATTAATCTTGTCCTTTGTCAAATGTACACTATTATGAAGCTCACTAAACATATAGAAATCAATACTGCTGCTGTTTGCTACAGTTTAATGATCTTGGCTGGTGTTTGTAGGTTTTCATAGAGACTGGTTTCAATAATAGTAGAGACCCCCACCCCCGAATTAAAGCCTCACTTGAAGCAGTAAAGCTGCACCTGTTCCCTTGTCAGCCAGCTCTAACTAATCATAAACCATCACACTCACCTGAAAATGTCTAACGGGTGTTGTTGTCATTGATTAGCCTATTTTCTGCAGGTAGGACATGGCGCAGAACTTCGTTTTTACCTCCTCACAGCTTCAACCATAACTCGTCTCTTATGTGAGAGGCTGATTTTCCGACTTTCCCCTGAGTGAGGGCGGCCTTAAGGTCCGTTTGGTCCCCGCGGCTTTCCGTAGCTCGTGAACTGGGCGTCAACAGTACGCTCTGTTCTGTTGTTTCTGTACTGCTCCATCTGAAGAGCTCGGAGGAGTGTCGTCTAGAAACAAAGACAATATAAGGCACAAAAATGCATTCAGCTACGTTGGATAGCACTGGTTCTCCAAAGAAGAGGATGTTTTCTCGTGGACTGAGCGAGGACGAATCTCTCCGCAGCATTATACAGGAGGTGAGAAGTAACGGCGTCATTTGTTTTTATTTAGAGCTAAATTAGTTCATGTTTCATCGTCCATTATTGGATTAATAAATGCTTAACCTTAGAAAATGTGGTGAGTTTGACGTTAAGCCACCAGGTTAACTGTTTAGGACTAACACGACGTAAACAGAGTTGTGTTTATCAGGCTAGTTCTGTCTGTTAACTTCCTCTTTATTATTAAAGCGAGAGTCCTGTTTTTTTTTTTACCTTGTGATGCCAAGCTGTACCTGAGATGTGTTTTCGCCTCCTTAATCAGACTGAGAGTTCATCCAGGCGTCTGGCACGAAGCGATAGCCGAGCAGGAGCCCCGAAGAGGAGGAGTGATAGTCAGGTAGGAGCCAGGGGGGACCGGAACAACCGCAACACCTGGACCCGGTTGTCTCCAGCTCCGCTCTCTCGAGTCTCTTAAGCAGTGAAAGAAAGTAACTTTAAAGTGGAACATTTACTCAAGTAACTTTATAGCTCTACGCCACCACAGTTCAAAAGGAAATATTGTCATCTTTTACTCAGCTACATTTGGTAGATACTATACTTTTCAGATTGTCTTATGTAACCCAGGTACCTACATACTATGTAAGTATATAAAATACAATAGGCATTTTACCACCGGTTCCCAGTGAGCTCTTAGTTCCACCAAAGAGACATTTTCCATCAGATGGTATAGTTTAAATTACTGTTCAAGGTCAAATGATCTAATATCTGATTTTTAAAAAGCAGAGATTAGAGAAAAGTCCTAGCTTGTTCCTCTTTCTACACCATTCATCTTTACACGACCCATCGGATTTATCTTGTGATCCCCTCAGTTTGGCAGCCATTCTGTATATTAAGTACTTAAAATGAGCTCCGCCTGCCTTATGTCACAAGGCATCAGTATTAATCTAATAATGTGATATGTATAATATCAGCTGCAATAGGATTTTTCTTCATAACCAGTACTTTTATTTTTATACTTTAAGTACATTTTGCTGAGAATAGTATTTTGTGCCTTCTCTCCTTAAACTATCAATCTACTTAATAATTCCAGAAGGTAGTCATGAACCTGAAAATACCTTTAAAATGTCTACAGATCTATCTAAAAACATATACAGAAAATCCCAACTTGCATTCAGTCAACTTTAACGTATGCTGTTTCTCCACTCTTATCTTGTTTTCCTCTAATTTACCAATACTGAGGCAAAAACTGTGGAAAGACAGTGATTTTAATTTGAAATATATCTTAGTAAGCCAGTGTAGCACCAAAGCTTGTGACCTGAAATTCAGCTGTATTAATAGTACAAATGTTTTTATCTTGCTTTATCACATACGGTATTTTGAGAGCTGTTATCACACATATTTGGAACAAGCCACTTGGTTTGAGAGTTATACAGAAACCTGTGGCACTACAGGATCAGCTACATGAAAATAAAATGAAAACAACGGGACAGCCAGGTGAAGTGTTAATCCTCTGTAGGCGGTCAAGGTTTCTGCTACCAGAAACTGTGACCTTCTCTGTAGTTATGAGGTCTATGTGCATTCTTTAAAGCCATGAAAATACTGTGGAGGCACCATTTTTGTTAACAGCATGATGGTATTTGCATTTTCCTTAAAGCTGCAGCAGTTGCATGTAATTCAGCCATCGATTTAAGGTGACATGTCAGTGTTTGAAAGTAAAAAGAATGAAGTTTTATTTACAAGTGAACAACTTTGACGAGTTTTTCATTGTTTCAGGAGACTGACCAAGATCTCTTCATGGGACTCCCAGAAATGGTGACTATTTTTCACTGTTGTCATTATAAATATGAAGATGGTTACTACTGTTTAACATCTTAGTCACATTCTATTAGGTATAATAATAGGTCACTGCAGTGATGCATGCTCCTTGATTGTCCTGGCTCCAAATTAGGCCTCCCACTGATGGTTGCCTCTCGAAGCTCACCAAAAACACTTACCCACCCACCGGCTGGTATGCGTTCCTCTAAAGTTGCCCACACTGATTTGTGATTGTGTTTGTGGCTTAGCTGGAGTTGCAGGCCAACTATGAGGAGGTGGTGCAGGAGCTGCGTGGGCTGGAGGTTGAGAGAGAGGCTCTGTTGTTCCAGGTGGACGTCCTGCAGGACACACTGGAGGGTGTAGAGGAGCTGCTGGCCGAGGCCCAGAGGGAAGCTGGACAGGCTAGTTTGGTACGTTGAGGCTGCAGGAAAACTGAGCCATTTAAACACATCTCTTTGGTATTTCTTGTAGACTTCTTTCAGTCATTTCTAAGGTAATGTTTTTTTTAAATATATATAACTAAGTTCAAAACTAACAACCTGCTGGTTCATGATGCAACTGTGTCCCTGCATTTGTAGGAGCTGGAACAAGAGAGGGAGGCCAAGAAGAAACTGGAGAGCCTGGTTTGCTCTCTGATGCAAGAGGTGGAGAGGTTAAAAGAGGTAATATGACAACAAAAAGCAGAACGTTAACGAACATTACAGAGGAACAAGATTTTTCATTTTGTGTGGCTTGTGGAACCTGTTGCATGACTCTGGCAGACGTGTGGTCACTTGTTACTGCATGTAAATATTGGAACTGGTGCGTGGTTTGTTTGTTTTTTTGGCCTTTTTCTTTCCGCCTCCGCTAATTAGTATTTGTTTTTGCTTCCATACTGGTATGGGTGGCGTTACACTGATAGGCAGAGAAATCTGTCTGTACCAAAGTGATGTTAAAACTACAAAGTAGAGAACTGCCCTGAAAAAAATGTTTAATTTACTAATGGACAGTTTTATGTCTTCTCACAGGAACAGAGTAACAAACTGTCTGTTCCAGCAAACACACACAGAAACGAGGAGACAAGACAGGGACCTGAAATGAAATACGATGCCACAGAACTGACTGAAGCTGCACACGGAGAAGAAAAGGACTCCTCCCTGTCTGAACCTCACAGCAGTGACAGCGTAGGTCAGGTGTTCGAGGAGCTGCAACAGGGTGTAGAGGGTGAAGAAAACATCCTGACAAAGCTGCGGCGGATGGTCGCTAAGACCCACATACCTTCTCTTGCAGTAGACATCCTGACCTCTGGAGAAGGGGTCCTCCAGAGGCCTTACGAAAACTGTGTAGATTATGAACAAGATCGTTCACTGGACACGAACGACGTAGACAGCATAAGTGCCTACGAGGATGCGTTAGCTGACACTCCAGAGCAGGACAGGATCTTTCCAGGTGATGGAGACTCCTTGGACCTGCTTGATGATTCAGAGAGTAAAGAGAAAAATCTGGCCAATGACAACAAGAACCAAGACCCCAGAAGCGCCGATCTCTGTGTTGTGTCTTAACTTCATCTGTTTTAGCTACTACTGGGCAAAAGGTGAAAGATAAATAATGATCTTTTGGTGAAATTCAAGAGATCTTTGATTTTTAAATTTGCTCACATCTAATATTTATGTTCTTGGGAAAGTGTTGAGCTTACAATAGTGCTCGGAGTTGTTGGAGCTGCTGTAATAATTAGTTAATTTGATTGAAGGAAAGTTAATCTCCAAATTTTTTGATCATTGATAAGTTGTCATTGTTCAAGCAGAAATTTCATCATGAGGTTTTTTTCTATATGATGGTCAGATACTTGCAGTATATCTACTGGTCAGTAAATCTTCAAGGAAATTGTTTGATCAGTCGGTAATGGAATAACTTGCTTAAAAGCCCAAGTTGTAAGCAGAAATGTATGTTTTGGTTTTAAATTCACAAAGGAACCAGGTAGTTCACTAGCTGGAATCCCACCAGTTAATACTTGCATACTTTGCCAATCATTTCTTTTTTATATCTGTCTTAATGTTTAAATGTGTGGAAGGACTTGGAAAATGGATGTGGCTGTTGACTGTTTACCTTTCTGGTAACCTTATAAGAAAGTTTGTTTGCACAGTGAGCTCAATAAGTATGTGGCCAGGGACTGTTTGGCTCCAATCAGCTACGCAATTAGAAACAGAGAAACCTAGAGAGGCAGTTTGAGCATTTCAGACACTTCAGGCTTGTTAGAGATGGATTCTTTTCCAAATGGGTGGAGTACAGTACCACAACAGAACCTTTTAATTGCATTTAAAGATATTTTGATCCGGTTCACAGAGCTCACTGTGAAGGTTTGGCGTTGGGTATTGACAGCTGGGATAAGATGGTGGTAACCAGAGACTCTTATTTATGCTAAGTATAAGGGAAAAGGCCATCTTGTTACTGCCTCGCTGATCGCTGGTCTTTTATTTAGAAAAGTTAGGGAAATGGATTTGCACTTTTTTAGTTCTTTTACAGTGGCGCGGATTTGTCAGATGACATTAGAAACTACATTCCCTTTACAGCCAAACATGTCGGTGAGAAATAAACTGCTGAGCTGCTGTAGGCTGTGTTCTCTCCGCCTGCATGATGACGCCCTGTTTGCACGTTTGTGGCGAAATTTGCTGAGTCTCTTTGGATGTCTTTGATTGTACACATTTTGTATATATTCAAAAAAAATTTTTTTTTACAAGGTTACATTTCTTTTTTCAGTGCCTGAGGCAAGAGTAGGCCCTTTCACCTCGTTTGTGATAAATAGTTTGCATGAGCATCTATGAATGTACTTTCATTTCCAAACTGCACATCGATCTTTGTCGATCATTAGTACTTCTGCATGCGATACTTTCACACATATATCAAATAACACTTTAAGATATTTGCTGCATATTGGTGTTTTAAAGGGATTTTAATTTTAAGATGGGAAAAGGGAAATGTATGGGAATTCTAAGATGGCAAAAAGTAGTTGCTTAGCCACATATGTTATGGGTTTAGGGCAGCGTATTAATGTCTGTATACTGAATCATTTGACTTTTTTCACACGGGAATTGATGCTGGTGATACTGATACTTGATTCTCTGCTGTGCACACGGGCGTGATGCACAGACTACTGTAGAAAGAAATGGCTCACTTTTTTTTACACTGAACTGTTACTGTAATTCACATGTGCTGTGATCAGTCAGGTCGTTTACAATCAACACTGATGAGGTGTTTCTGAATACACAGCCGCTGTCACTGGTTACTTATGTTAGTCATCAACATTTCATTTTCTTTTCCTGTTATCATCAGGCTAAAGAGTTTTTGTTGTAGTGATACAGTACAGTTACACCACCCTGACTTCAGGCATTGTCTTGTTTTTTTAAAGATCTTTCACAGTGTGACAGGAAGCTGCTTCTCTGGCACTGTTTGTGTTGTTTTCACACAATGCAAAAGAATATGTTCCTGCATTTGGTGCATTTTATGGGTCTAGACATTTTTAACTTGTCCTAAGCTTTGAATTAAATGTTGGGATGTAACAGTAAATGTCAAAAATTTATACTTGTAATTGAAATGACATTTCAGACATATCAAAATAAAAGGAGTAAATTGTGTAATCATGTTGTGTTGACACCAGTTGAAAATATTTGACTGCCATAAAAAAAACACACAATTTTACACTTTTCTTTTTTTTTTTTACTCAAATGTGGTTTAACTTTCAAAGCAAAATATCTTAACCTGTACGGGAATATTGCAGAAATGTCCTACAAGCATTCTTATCAATTAGCATTTCAAAGAAAAAAAATTGAATGGCCAGATTAGCTGGCATATTGTTGCGGTTTCTGAGCTATGATTGTGAATGGGAACAAAGAACGTAAAAAAAAAAAAAAACAACTTAGAGAAATTAATGGTTGTGATGCTTAAAAACAGGTTTGGTGGTTACAACAAAAGAGACTAATTATGAGACAGTCATATTTCCAGTCTTCTGTGTTTTACCCCCTTGTTATTTGATTGGTAATCTGCTTCCTGTTTTTTTTTTTTTTTTACCTGAAATGCTGTAACATTGCTTGGCCAACAGATGGCAAAGTAGATGTTTACCAAAAGGGGGAATGGAGCTTTCTACACATGAGTTGGTGCTCATGACTGAGCTCATAGTTGATAAGTGTTACATAAACAGTGCTGGGTTTGACAGGTACATTTCTGATTCAGCTTACAATAATTCTGTTATTAATGTTCTGGTTGTTATCCACACACGGCAGAATAAACAGTTTTTAATTATTTCATATTGAGATTTCAAATATTGTCACAGGAGGTCTTAATTAAACAGCATCCCTGTTCAACATCAGTAGAAAGTAAGTACTCATATTACAGTGATTTGAAACAAAAGTATGAATCACAACATTATTATTAAAAAGTGGAAAATCAATAACAAAAAAATTTCCTGTTTGTTTTTGATAATAGCTTATTTCAAATACAGAAAAACATGATCAAAACATCATTTTGTCTTTCTTCACATGCAGCTGTTTCCATTGCGGCAGCCTCGCAAAGTCATCTTTGGTGATCCCAAACACTTGGCTGAAGTCAGAGTCAGAGAGGTATTTCTGAAAAGCAGATCACAAAATGTAGTGAGTTAACACAATAAAATGTAATTTGGTTTGTCTTGGACTGGTGAACCACATATTTTTACAACAACCAATTAAAGCTCAATCACTGATTCTGTATAGCAACGTAGCATCCTGGTAACACCTTCCAACGAGGTGTCCAAAACACTGACTTGTTAATAACTGAAGAGGGAACATGTCAGGGAGCACGTGACTGGTAGCTAAAGAGCGGCTCCTGAACAGTCGCACATAGGAGATAATGATACAGACAGGAAGACTTTAATGGTGAAGCTTTATTCTGTGGGTGCTTTATTTCCCT